TTGCTAGCACTGCTATGTTGAATTATTGTAAATGTTAAATTGCCGAGTTATGTATGCTGATAAAATATTTGGCAAATCTGTTTCATCTGATCTATTAGTTAAAACCATCCCATTCGTCCACCGGTAAAGATTGGAATAGGTAGAGGTAGAGGTAGAAGTAGATCTGAATAATCAGGATATTCGATTTTAATTTTCGGATTGAGCTTTTTCATCACTTCTTCACTAATCCCTTTACAACCCTCCAAACTAAGATATTTCAAATTAGTACAGTTGCGGGCTATCTCCTCTACAGCTTCATCACCAATCGAACAACCACCAAGCTCAAGATGTCTAAGTTTTGGGCATGAGCGAGCAATTTCGGTGATACATCGATTAGTGAGACATATACATGAATTAAGACTTAGATGCTGTAGTTTCGGAGAAAATCTCGCAATTTCTATAATTGGTATATTAGTGAAACCCTTACTTTTATCAAGAATGAGAAAGCGTATATCCGGACACGAACGGAGAATTGTACCGATTAAAGCATCTGAGATTTTTAAACCTTCCAATCTGAGATATACCATCTTTGAACAATAAAGTGGCTTTATTTTTCCACGCATAACTCTTGCAAAGTTTATCAATCGCCAAGTAAGAACCCGAGACATGTTTAGGGCACGCCGGCTCTGCTGATAATCTTCGTTGAAAAACTCAACACGACGCCATAGAATAGGAGCACCGCAGTGATACCAAAGGTGGTTAATGAATAAAGCAGGATAGAGGGATCGACGGAATTCTAAAAAATATAAGATCTGTTCTAGCAATTCTGGTAAATCAAAAATATTTAGTTGCGCCATTCTCAAGTTGTATATTATTTATCTCTAATCGAAAAAATAACTAATGTTTGGATAATCAATTTTTAGAAGAGAATACCGTAGATATTATACACCACTTTGAATTTTCCGGATATAATCCCGTGATCAATTAAGCATATAACGTTTTTTTTTATTCTCAATTGCATTTAAAGAAATCGTGTAGGTGTTTGAACGATATACAATACTGCATAACGGTTATTCTAAATTTGTAGATCCGGCTCAAGAAAAATAAGCCCTCAATGATCCCAAATATAATTGTCGTAATTCTGGGTAATACAACATAAATTTAATGCATAGTTAAATTTTTATGCGATAAAAGTTAAAAGTCGTGATTATGAAGCTGTGCTACAGCGATTGATATTTATGGCTTTGTACGTATAATGAAGTCTTTTTTTATTCTGTTTATAATGTCCTAAATCATTATTTTTATACGTGTTAATCTTGAAACCGACCTTGCATAATTGTTGAGGGATTAACTAATGTTGAAATATAACTATAACACGTATGCACGTACGTACCTGCGATGTCGAATTATTTTTAACCGAATATGGCATGATTCCATAGCCACATAATATTGATATAAAATCCTTTAGAGCAATTTTTTTACCGATATTCTACTTTCTTACACTAGATAGTTTTTGTGTTGATAAGACAGTTGCCGGAGCTATTTGTACGGGTATGCTTGGTCAAGCAAAAAATTTTTTTTCTTATCTAATTGATAAGAAAAAATAGGGCCTCTGACTATACATATGAGACTCAACGGGCTCATAGTTACCATAAGGTAGCTCAGTACTTTGGTAAAAGTAATCGTCTAGTCCGCAAAAAATTTATTCTTTATAATATAGTCTTCTCAGGTGTAGTTATAGCCTTTCGAGGCAGGCCTAGGATCCGACTAT